CTCCCTCTCTCCTAAATTGCTGTTTCCCATGGCTCATGCACACAGAAAACATGCACACACAGACATACACACACACTCACACACTCACACACACACACATACACACACTCACTCACACACACACACACACACACTCACACACACACACACACACACACACACACACACACACTCACACACACACTCATACACACACACATACACACACACAAGGGCAACGTGACGTTTTGTCAAGAAAATTCAATTAGATATCTAGCTACTACTTGTAGTTCAGCTTATTCCGCCCTGCCTTGACCTCAGATCCATCCTCTAAATCTCATTATTATATCAGATATTTATTGATGAGGGCAAAGCCCATTGCTTCTCCTCCTCCTCTTCTTCCTCCTCCTCACCATCATCCCCCTCCTCTCCCTCCTCCTCCTCTCCTCCTATTCCTCCTCCTCTCCCTCCTCCTCATCTCCTCCTATTCCTCCTCCTCTCCCTCCTCCTCCTCATTTCCTCCTATTTCTCCTCCTCCTCTCCCTCCTCCTCCTCAACTCCTCCTATTCCTTCTCCTCTCTCTCCTCCTCCTCATCTCCCCCTTTTCCTCCTCCTCTCCCTCCTCCTCAACTCCTCCTATTTCTTCTCCTCTCCCTCCTCCTCCTCATCTCCCCCTTTTCTTCCTCCTTCCCTCCTCCTCAACTCCTCCTATTCCTCCTCCTCTCTCTCTTCCTCCTCATCTCCTCCTTTTCCTCCTCCTCTCCCTCCTCCTCCTCATCTCCTCCTTTTCCTCCTCCTCTCCCTCCTCCTCATCTCCTCATATTCCTCCTCCTCTCCCTTTTCCTATTCTTCCTCCTCTCCCTCCTCCTCCTCCTCTCCCTCCTCCTCCTCCTCTCCTTCCTCCTCTCCCTCCTCCTCTCCCTCCTATTCTTATTCCTCCTCTTCCGTCACATTCAGTAAGACTAAGGGGAAAATATCGTACTCTTGTGTCCAGGTTGATAGAAAAGTACTCTCAGGATCGACTAGAACCCTCCCGTAGTCCCGTCTACACATTGCCACCACCGACGTGTTGACACCTGACCTTTGACCTTATAGCTGATGACAGCCTGGGTACCCTTTGCGTTATCGACCTAGTCATTTTTTGTTGATTTATGCCACTCGGTGCTCGGAGAAACGATATAATGCAGATGCTAAAGTAATCAAATATTATATCTACGGCAAGCTGTTTAACCTACTGTTCTAAGCCGACTAACAAAATTTTTCGGGAGTGAAAGAAAAAGTGTTCTATGCATTGTTTTAAAAGTTGAACCTCTATCATGGTTGTTGCTGTTGTTGTTGTTTTTGTTGTTGTTGTTGTTGTTGTTGTTGTTGTTGTTGTTGTTGATGATGATGATGATGATAATTATGTGCATGGTTTGTTTTTGTTTTCACTGTTAATTAGACTTTGAATTTGGACATCGTATTTTTTTCGAGCGCATGCGGTCTCTATCGCAGATTAAGAAACTGCATTATTTCATTTCCTCAGTATTTTAGGCAAAGTACATCCAAACTGTTGGTCGACGATATGCAGTCCAAAAATATTACGCAATCCGTGCTATTAACTGTCTGATATTTAAAGGACATTCTGCTCCGAGTTGTTACGCGGTATTCAGTAACAGAATAAAAATCCCTGTTTTCCTGTGTCTGTCCTTATGGTAGGCTATATGTGTCTGCCCTTTCGTCTATCTGTCTGACTGGTTGTCAGTCTTTTTTTCTTCTCTCCGCGTGCCTGTATGTCTGTACGAGTGTGTATAAGTATGTGTTTGGAGTGTCAGTATTTTGTGTTTTTAAAAATTGATTTTTTTTTTTTGCCATCAAATCTTCAAAATGTAGATCATTATGGTGGTGGACTCCGACCCTGCCTGCCAGACTCAATCAGCTCTGAGATGCATACAAAGTCTCAGCAGAAAGGCCAAGATACTCGATGAAAGCTCTCCCCTCACGAATCGCACTCGGGTCCCTAGTGTGCGACAACCAAACGCTTAGCCACTACACCACAGACGTCAGTGTTTGTGTTTGCGTTGCCTTCAATAAAAGTATTTTAGAAAAAGACGCAAGAAAAAAACACTGACATAAAAATCATATTTCGGCATTTTGTTTTTAGTCTTTTATTGTGGTTTCTGTACGGGAAAAAAACAACTACAAGAAACGAGGGTAAGAATTTGCGTGAACTTCTTGGCTGGACTCATCGTTCAAACAGTTAATAAAACGGCAGTGTGTTGAGGACTTTTGACCCGCGGCCTCATCTCGCCCCGGCTGGTTTGTCCTGCTCTCCACGGCATGGAAGACACTAATCCCCGGGGCCCACGAGTGCCCGGATATCGTAATAGCCGGCCGAGAATGGCAATAGGAACTGACTGGCCTCTAATAACATTTGTCTGTACCTCTGGCAATGTCCTTGTGCAAACTAGCTATTGGTTTCCAGCTCAAGAATAGAACTCTTCGATCAAATAGAGAGATTTAAATTGGGTTAGGAGGCTCGCGGCACCTTGTTTTGTTTTCAGGTTTGTATTTTGTTGTTTTACATCGTTTTGCATAATATAGTGGTTGTTTTTGTTGTCAGTTTTTTTGTTGAGTTAGTTTTATTTTGTTTTGTTGATATAGTTATTGTTTTGTTTTTTTCTTGTCAAGGAAATAATTTTAAACCATTTTGAGAAGCATGATCCCATGCAAAAAATATAATAAAATACGGATACTTCCTGGCAAAGAATTTCGAAAGAGGAAAATGAGTTGGGAGTTTAGAGAATACAGTAAAGGAAAAAAACCCTGATATGTCAATTTCATTCTTTTATACGGCGTCAAAAAGTCCTGTCATATCTTTCTTCTAAACCAACGAGTGAGTTCCTGTGTTAGTGGAAAATAGTGAAACACGGGTATTATAATAACATCTTCACCCGTAATATTAGCTATAAAACATTTTTAAGTAGCAAATCACGGGCCTGTTTGTTTACTTATTGTTATTGATACCATCCAGACAAAATCGTAATAAAATATTTCCATAACGGGGCATCGGACTAAGAAGTATATTTTCAAAAAAATTCAGTTGGGAATGTATAACATCCCATGTGTAACAATCTGAGCCTCAGCCAATCTTTATGAATGATATTTCTTTTTAATTTAAAGGACAAAATAAAAAATAATATATCGGCACCGACGTCAGGTGCTTGAAATAGTGTGTGCTACATTCTCATTTACGACTCGATCTCCAGACCAGTCTAAAAGACTCCATCTCCATCATATTAGCTGCTCTCATTCGTCACCCCCGCTCCTGCGAGTAGTCGGCGCCCTCCACCTCCCTGTCCCCCACCCCCTCTGAATATCAACCCAACCTCAACAACCACACCCCCCTTCCTCCCCCCTACTCCCTTCTTCCATCTCAACCTA